ATGAAAGTCTACAGGTTTATGTCCACACAGGTCCTGAGTTCTAGAACTGACTGTCCTATAAATTACTTTTTTTAATTTACCAAGATCATCCATTCAAATAAACCTGGGATGTCATGCCATTGTTTAGCTCTCTGAAGAAAAGTATTTTCCACTGGCGAAGGATAGAGGATTCAAGAACTCAGGGAAACTTTATAGGTTAAAAAAAAAATCTTCAGCAAGGCAAAGAGCAGACTGTGGGTGGCTTTTGGCTTCAAGTACTGTAGTCAGGTTACTTGAATATTTTGTTTTGTGAGATCCTTATAAGTGAACAGTTACGTATTTTTTCATTTAAAAATATTTCTCCTTTCCTATTTGTAACTACGATTGAAAGTGTAAGTTCAGTCAAAAGAGTATTTTCCTTCAGAAATCTATGCTACAGACCTATCATATTACTTCTGTAAACTACCTCAGATAAATCCTAAGTTGGACAAATACGCCAGAGAACATTAAATAAGTAACTGTGAATTCAATTAAGTACACAAATTGTTTCTCCACTTTTGGCAAATGTTTGATACTATTCTTAAAAGCTTAAATACAAAATACGAACAGTTCGATGTCATGAGCAGTCTAATTCATTTGCTAAACACCACAAATACTTTAAAGGTTCATCTTCATTAAGTTCAAAACAAAGAGATTTGACTCTTTTAGATCACTTAATTAGACACAGGCATACATGGAGAACTGAAGGGTGGTAACAAGAGCATGGAGTCTGGGATCATAACAAGGACTGGATTCCTGGCTCAGGTACTTGCCAGCTGTGTGACCTTACACAAGCTACTTAAACTCTCCTAAATTCAGTTTCTTCAGCTGTAGAAAGAAAAGAACAGTAATATCCAGCTCCCAGAGTTGCTGTAGAGACTGAATGGGTCAAATAAGACATGTGCAACCAGTGCAGCACATGACACCTGGCAAATGGGATGTATGCTATCCAAGTGAGTTCCCTTCTCCTACACCTCACTTCCCTGGGCCAGGTCTTGAGAATTTATAATGATCACGGAATAGCTGTGGAAAAAAATACCAGTGTATTTAGATCACATTTTTTAAGAATATTGTAGGAAATTCTGACACATGCTATGACACAGATGAAGCTAAATGAAATAAGCCAAACACAAAAGGACAAATACTGTATGATTCCTCTTACATCAGGTCAAACTCAAAGACAGAAAGTAGAATGGTGGCTGCCAGAAGCTGGATGCAGGGAGCAATGGGGAGTTTGTGTTTAATGTGTACAGTTTTGGCTGGGAAAGATGAACGGTTTTGGAGATGAAGAGTGGTGATGGCTGCACAACAATGTTAATGAACTTAATGCTAAGGAAGCGTACACATAAAAATGGTTAAAATGGTAAATTGTTACATATATTTTATCACACACAAAAAAATCCTGAAAACTAGTTCAACCATTGTGGAAAGCAATATGGAGGTTCTTCAAAAAACTGAAAAAATAGAAATACCATTTGACCTGGGAATTCCACTCCTAGGAATTTACCCAAAGAAAACAACTTCTCAGATTCAAAAAGACATATGCACCCCTATGTTTACTGCAGCACTATTTACAATAGTGGAAGCAACCTAAGTGTCCATCAGTAGATGAATGGATAAAGAAGATGTGGTACATATACACAATGGAATACTATTCAGGCATAAGAAAGAAACAAGTCCTACCATTTGCAACAACATGGATGGAGCTACAGGGTATCATGCTCAGTGAAATAAGCCAGGTGGAGAAAGATAAATATCAAATGATCTCCCTCATTTGTGGAATATAACAACGAAGCAAAACTGAAGGAACAAAATAGCAGCAGAGTCACAGACTCCAAGAAGGGACAGGCAGTTACCAAAGGGGAGGGCAGGTGGGGAGGGAAGGAGATGGGGATTGGAGGAGTATTATGATTATTGCACATGGTGTGTGTGGGGGGGGGGTCACAGGAAGACAGTTAGCACAGAGAAGACAGGTAGGGACTCTGTGGCATCTTACTACACTGAAGGACAGTGACTGCAATGGGGTACGGGGGGGGGCTCGATAATAAGGGTGAATGTAGTAACCACACTGTTTTCCTTGTGAAACCTTCTTAAGAGTGTATTTCAATGATACCTTAAAAATACACTGAAAAGTACTTGTTATTTAAAAAACCTTATAATAAATTATTTTGCAAAAAATTACTTAGTAAAATAAATAATGATGTTGTAGTTACTTGTTCCAGCTCCCAAGGTAAAGACAGCAATATGGGGGAAAAATCAGGTACTCTACCATTTGGTTGAATAATTTGCTGTCCACTTCACCAGGCCGTTGATGCTGGGCCACACTCCACAATGTACCCCTGGGTCAGGTCTCTTTCTTAGTTTCAACAGTGGCTGTTTCAAGCATACGTGGCCACATTCACACCATCGCAGTATGCTTACATTACCTTATCTAAAGACCTTTCTTCTACCCTTCACATGTGATCTACCTCCTATTTTAAATTGCTTAAAAAAAAAAAAAGGTAGTCTCTATTCATTAACTCCCACTGCACTTACTGATTGGAAGGAACTTTCTAATGCCAGTTTTACAATTTTTCTCGAGAGCCTCTGACTTGGTCATTCATCTGCCTTGTTTTACTTTTTCTCATCCCAACTTGGCCTCTTGGTAGCATCTGATTTGATTACTTACCTTTTTTAATCTGTTCTGAGATGGTGTTTTCCTGAGCACACCCTTTAAATGCCCACGTCCTTTGCTTGGTCTCCCTCACTGCTCAGCTAGCTCCCCTTTTGTAATCTTACCCACTCCCACATGTATGACTCCACACTCCATATCTTTCTCCCCTAAACTTCAGTCATATTTCCAATGATCTACTAGTTACCACCATTTGGATGCCCCATTATCAAATGTCCAAAACCAAACCCAATGCTTCTTTTCTGCCCTGCATCCAACAGCCAGAGGATTTAAAAATCCACAACCATTTTCTACTCTTCCATCTCCCTCATAAACGCTATATGTAGCTCCGATCAAGTACTCACAAATCGTACCTCCCATAATCATACCTGACATTTTGTCCTCTTCACATCTCCACTGTCAATGCCTGAATCCGGACCCTTCATCTAGCTTATCTGGACTGCTGCCCTGGTCTCCTAACTAGTCTATTCTCTAGCGTTAGCCTTTCAAGCCCAATTTTCACACCACTGCCAGGCATTTTTCTAAATTGTGAATCTGTGCCATTCCTCTGATTTCAAAGCCTCCAGTGGTTCCCTGCAGCCAACAGGGCAGAGGCCAGCTACGAGCATTCCACACAGAGCCCCTCTGGATCTCATTCCCCACCATCTTCCCGCTCCTCAGCTCCATGAACCTCAAGCTCCTTCTCAACTTCTGAAAAACTGGTCCTCATACCTCTACATCTTGGTACATGCTTCTCCTTCTCCACATGGTCAGCAACTACTTACAGTCAAAGATTCAGCTCAGATGTCAGTCTTCCCAGACCTCCGGGCCAAATTAACTACAGGCTTCCAGAGCAGTCTGTATATGAGGCCCCTACAGCAACACTTATCAGACAACATCACACTTACTTCTTTTTTGTGCCCAAGCCATTATTGAAACCTGCTCAGAGGAGCACCTCAAGATCAGGAACTCTGCCTTACTCGTTTTCCAGTCCACCCCAAATTCTTCAAGGCTCGTGTAGGTGGCTCTCTCTCTAGTCATGAATCTCTCAACCATCAAAGCTCAGCAACTTCACTGCCACACTGACGGACTGTTGTGTGGGAAAGTCATTCATTTGCTCACTCAACTAACATTTATTAGCTATTGGGCATACACAGATGAGTAAGTCTTGACCCCTCCCACGAAGGAGTTCACAGCCTAGTAGGGGGAAAAAATCACATAAACATACATTTATGTAACACGTTGCAGAAGACCAGAAGTCCCAGGACATTCTGGAGACAAAGGGACATGAAGGATAATTAGCCCAGCAAGTGTGGGGCACTGGGAATGGAAGAGGCCACTGGAGGAAGCTTCTGGGACTGACGGTGCCCAAAGTGTGTCTTGGAGAACATAAGAGAAAGAGGAGGGGAAGAACAGGTGGGAGACAGGAAAAGGGAAATGTATCAATTAATCTCATTAACTTTTTGTCAGCTGGAAGTCATGATATAATCTTTATAAATACATCCAGATCTTTGTGAAAAAATCCTCAATCTCCTCAGACACCCCTTCTCACTCCCTTTTTTTTCTGTTTCTCTCTTCCACACCCACTGACACATAGGAAAAGCTTAATACATGTAATGAAAAATATATGTATGAACCTTTACGGCAGTAGTGAAATGTTTAGGGTCCACATTTCTCTTTTCTCGCCTCCCTCAACAGTCACTATCTGAGCTCTACCCACCCACCGAAGTCTCTCAGACTCCTCTGCCCCAGCGCTATTCCTTCTCACCATTCCCAGGCCCCTTTCATCTCTTCTGTGCCCACCTTCTATGCACACTGCAGAACTGGACTACATCACTTACTGCTATTCTATCTAGTCAAAAATGATGGTACCAAAAACAGTCACACCATTTTGTGCAAAAAAGAACTTAATAACAATAGTTTTTTCACAGCATAAAGTCTACCCTTCAATTTGGAATGCTCCATCTTATTGCCAATTATTTTACTCATTTGAACACTGATTAAATACATGTATAGATACATTAAAGAAGACAAAATAATCTTTCAAGTCAGTATTTACATTTGGCCTTTACTATTTTAGTGATATTTACTATTAATTGCATCACTGCAAGTTCAATTAACAAAGCATACAAGTAACAGAATCCTACTTGAAGTTGGGAGGTAAGAGAGAGAAAAAAATGGGTAATCTCTCATCTGGAAGCTGATCTTGAAGTCATACTAGCCAAGGGTAAAGGAAAGGAAAGGAAGGGAAGGAGGAGGTGGAAGTGTACAAATAACAGTTAAATGCAGTATGTGAAGTGAAAAAATTATTAAGTAAGTTGCTTTCACTTACAGTTAAGAGAGTCCCTGAAAACAAGCGAGGTGAAATCCTACCGTATCGCTCAATCCAAGAACTAAGAAGTGCTATTCCAGGGAGGTGTGGTGGTGCTAAAAGGAGGCAAAAAAGGATTAAGATCTCAAAATCTAAGTGGTAAAAGGCAAGCCAGCCACTCATCCTCCCACCTCAAGCACTTTCTAAAAAGTTAATCATCAAATTAAATGTTATAATTCAATTTCCAAAATTGTTCTACTCCACTTAAAACTGCTGTCACCTCTAATAATCTTACAAGCAAATGCATTCATTTCAAACATCATCCTCTTCAGTTCTGCAACATCTGAATCTCTTGAACTCCACTTTTTTCGTTCCCACCAGGAACACAGTTGGCTCTTCTCTCAAATGCTACAGATCTAGCTCCTCTTCCTATCTGGACTCCAAACAAAGGCCTCCCCCAAAGGCTTGGTTCTCACTGCTCTGGCCTCTGTAATACTTAACTCCTTAAAGAATTTAAACATCACTTCTTGGATGACAAATGTGGAATTTTCCTCTTTGGCTAGACACTTCAACTTATGCCCTGGTTCTACAGATTCAACTGCTTAGAATTTCCCCTTGAATGTCCACAAACAAGCACCCTCATTCCCTCAAAACTGGTTTCTCTTTCTATCTCTTTCAGATGCTTAATGGTTCTGCAGATCTCAAAACCCTGACACCATTTTTTACTCCCAACTTTCTCTCGTTCATCAATCTGCTGCGTCCCGTTTATGTGTCCTACCTCTCTCCTCTCTCATCTCCCGCGACTAAATCCTTCAGTACCTCACTGCTGGATTACTTCACTAGGATCTACCTCCTATTTCTCTCTCTCTTCATCTTTGACACTGCTACCAGATTATTCTTACGCTACATACCATGGTGTTTTTCCTTCATTCCTTTTCTTCAGAACACAGGCAGTATGGTGGTTTTAAATGTTTCCAGATTCTTTGACACTCCCCTCCCAAAAGGTGGAATCTAATCCCCCTCCCCTTGAATGTGGGCTGAACTTACTGGCTTTCATGTAAGGACAGAATGTGGCAAAAGTGCTCTCTGCTCTCAAATCTCCGACCAACAGAAACCGTTAGAGATAATGTTGACTTGTGTTCTAAACCCCAAATTTGGGGGTAATTTGTTGCACAGCAATACATTATTAATTCAGAAGGGCTCTCTGCTGCCTAGTAGATCTAATCCAAACTCACTGGGCACTCAAGGTCTTTCACTCACTGCCTTACTTTATCTTTGAATACAAACACACTGCTTCAGTCTATTTGACCTCACATGACGTGGTAAAATACTGCCTCTATTTTAGCCCATGCTACGTTCATGTAAAACATCCATCTTGACTCTCTCTACTAAACTAAATTCAACACTTTCTTTTCAGCTCATTTCAAAGTCTACCTACTAAAGAAATTTTTCTATTTTTTAATGCATGCAAGTAAACATTATCTCATTTCCAAAGCTATATCAAGTTATTTAAGAGAGAAATTATGGCTTTGCTGTCTTTATATTCCCCACATTAATGGACACAGATACAACTTTTTGTTTAGAATTAACTTTTATGAGGCTTCTTTCACAAAAAAGTTTTGAATGTCTTTTAACAATGGACATATACAATAAAGTTTACTGGCTTCAAAAAGTGTCAAGTACTTTGAGAAAACATAATGTGGTAGAACATATTACCAAAAAAATCTATATGGCCTATAAATATTCTATTTTCAGGAATCTATTTTATAGATATAATAACACAAATAAGCAAAAATATAGGTATAAGGATATTTTTCATAGCATTGTTTATAGTAAGGAAAATCAGAAACAATATGAAATACATAAATGGAAGAAAAATCAGTGACTACCCTTTTTAAAAGTGAAATAGGTCTCTAAATGTAGTGACCTGTATAAAGCAACTTGACAAAACAAAGTATTAAAGAATAAATTTAACAACAAATATAAGAAACCCATCTAAGGAAAACTTTTAAAACATTCCTAAAAAGCCACAAATGAAGACTTCAACAAATAGAAAGACATTTCTTATTCTGGGATAGAATAATTCAACATCACAAAAATTTGACTTTGCTCTAAATTAATTTATAAATGTAAATGTAATCCCCATAAACTATCAACAATTCTTTTTAATGAAGCTAGACAATTGATAGTAAATCTCATATTAAAAATACACACACACATGTAAGATATATATACACAATGGAATATTATTCAGCCATAAAAAAAAATCCTGCCATTTCCAACAACATGGATGGAGCCAGAAGGTATTATGCTCAGTGAAATAATCCAGGTGGAGAAAGACAAATATCAAATGACTTCACTCATCTGTGGAGTATAACAACAAAGTAAAACTGAAGGAACAAAATAGCAGCAGACTCAGACACTGAGAAGGGACTAGTGGTTACCAAAGAGGAGAGGTTGGGGAGCTGGGTGGGGAGGGAGAAGGGTTTAATTAAGGGGCACTATATTTCCCAGTCACAATATAGGTAGGTCACGGGGAAGGCAGTACAGCATGGAGAAGACAAGTAATGTCTCTACAGCATCTTACTACACTGACAGACAGTGACTGCAATAGAGGGGGTGAGGGCCTGATAATATGGGTGAATGATGAAACCACAGTGTTGTTTATGTGAAACCATCATAAGATTGTATATCGGTGACACTTTAATTTAAAAAAATACACATGTAACAATAGCCAGGAAGACACTGAAATGCTAGAGAGGAGGACTAAGCTCTCCAGATATTAAATTATACTATGAAGTCTCTATAACGACGTCTGCCCCCTGAGTAGACAGACAAACCACTGGAGTAATATAGGCAGTTCAAAAACAGACCCAAATACAGATGCAACTTCAGAACTATATATGATTAAAGGGGGAATCTGAAAATCAGTAATGCAAAAACTGACTTTTTAATAAGTGGTTAACACAATTGATTAGCCATTTGGAAAAAGATAAAATTAGATCCGTACTTCATACCATACACAAAAATAGATTCCAAATGAATCAGGGATCTAAAGGTAAAACAAAAAAGGCATACAAGTACTGGAAGGGAAAAAATGTGAATCTTCTCTAACTGCGATATAAGTGAAGTGCTGACTACGGCTCAACATCAGCAAGAATAAAAGACTGCTAATATAATTACATAAAAAATTTTAACAAAAGTTTTCTGCATGGCAAGAAATAAAATTCACCATTAACCAAGGATAACAGATAAAATGGGAGAAAATATTTGCATCATATCCTAGCATTATGACTAATAGCCATAATACATAAAGAACTCTTAAAATTGAGGAAAAAAGGACTAGTGACTTGGCAGGAAAATGGGCAAAGAACATGAATACACATACACACATACACATATATATATATACACATATATACACACAAATATGTATACACACATGTACGCCTTAAACATATGAAAAAATGCTTAATTTCACTCATAAAAAAATACAAAAAAACTACATTGAGATAGTTCTCACCTATTAGACTGGCAAAAATTACACAGTATAAAATGTCATTCTTTACCAGGCTATGAAGGAAAAGGTACTCACAAAGTGCTTTGAAAAAAATGACCTGTCACAGGGCGGAGACAGAGGAAGTACACAAGGAGGACCATTAGCAAGGGCACGGGAGACAGCTTCAAGGGGATCTGGGTTCCCACTAGCCAAATCTAAGGCAATTTGAGCATCAAAGTAAGGACAACAAAATAATAAAGAACCTACCAAGAGTCTACAATGACATTAAGTAAATAAGACACAGGGAGTGCTCTTCTTTGTAGAAGAAAGCCAACGAAGAAAAGGAGGAATGATAGAATTTTAAATCGCCGTTTGGAAACCGTAAGAATAACTGATTCAGACAAGAGCCATCCATGGATTGTAAAGCCTACAAGTAGAAAAAATTTGAGGAGTCATAAGGTATTAAATAATAAAAACATTACTCCACAAGATGGTTATTGTCTAACAAGAGGGAAAGAATGACTTTACGATGGCATGAAACACAAAGCAAGAGAGAGAGAGAGACTGTTACAGACCAATGGAGACCAGATGTAACACATGATCTGGATTTCCTGTACTATAAAGATATTTTGGGAATAACTGACAGAATCTGACTAAGGTCTGTACTTAGATAACATTACTGCATCCGTGTTAACTTCCTAACTTTGAAAAAGAATAAACAAACTCAGTAAATAAGGATGGGAAAAGCTAAGTTCTGGATGAGAATGTACCATCTGAATCTAATGATGAGGAAACATCAGACAAATACAAAATGAGGAACTTGTTATTAAAAAAAAAAAAAGAACAGGTACTATATTTTTAAAAAATGCCAATCTGATAAAAGACCAACAAACACTGCAAATATTCCAGATTAAAGGTTATCAAACAGAAATGACAACTAAATGTGATAAATGACTCTAGACTGGGTCTCGTACCATGGGGGGGGGAAATGTTATAAAGGACATCATTAGGTCAACCAACAAAACTACAATGTGTACAACAGATTAAATAAAAACAATATGAATTTATGAAGTAGTAACTGCCATGTAAGTGAAAATCCCTATTCTTAGGAAATACACTGCAAAATATTTAGGGGTAAAGGGCCATGATATATGTAACATCCTCAAATGATTCAGGAAAAATATAGACATATACACACATACACACATCAATACACAGCAAGAAAACGTGCACAAGTGATCAAGCAAATGGGGAAATGTTAGCAATAGGTGAATCCAAGTAAAAATAGTGGTTCTTTGCATTATTCTTGGATTTGGCTTTTTTGGCGAGTTTTAAAATGCTTAATGGTCCATCCTCTAAATGAAAACTATTTCGAATTATCTTAAAACAGATTAAGAACAGCCATCTTCAAAAAGAAACTACCTCAAGGTTAGTACTTACATATTTTACAGTAACAATTTCCTAAGTGACCATTTGAGAGAAAAGGTGCTTCAAACTGACCGTGTTTTTCCTAGGGAAAACACAACTGGAAAGTAAAATGTGCAAAAGTCGTCCTGTTGTACGTGGTTAAGATCATAGCTCCTTGAGAGTCAGGCTACCTGGATCTGAACTTGTGCT